GAAGTTATTTTGGTGGACCTTGCCCCGGCATCTGTCGATGCTGCCGCCATCCTGACAGCGCGTCTTCAATCCTTGAGACAAACTTGGCTTGCAGCAGAAGGAGAAGAAAGAAAGAAGAAAAACGAGTGAAGGTTGAGAAGGGGGCTGAAAAACCTCCTCTTTTAACCACAGGGTGGGCTGGATGTTGGCGCTGCCTCCTTCAACTCAAGCAGAACTTTTTGCTTGCTTGCAAAGCTGTTGCTCGCTCTCGCTCTCTCTCTCTCTCTCATGTGTGTGTAAACTCTTTATAGAGGACCGGGTGACAGACGGTGGACCATTAAGGTCTGCTGAAGGAGGGTCATATAGGCTAATAGGGTGGCATTATTCTGATTGAATTTTTTGAGCCTTTATGGTCAGTAAATCTATTTATAGGGACCACAGAAATACAAAAAAACTTAAGGCACATTATGGCATAATATTACTTTCTATAGTATATTTTTTACTCACTGGTAGAAAGAAGTAAACTACGTTACTTAAAGTACAGTTTTGAGGTACTTCTACTCGTATTTTGGATACCTTTATATTTTCTAATACATTTACTGGGGGAAATGTTTTTACTCGTTCTACTATTTTATTTGACCGTTGTTATTCTGTATTTGTTAATTAAAGATTAACTAGGCTGTAATCGTTGGATAATCATGAATAAATGGATTCAGTTGCTAAATTCATGTTTACTGAAAATAATTCATGTTTCAATAAAACTGAATTTTATTTGTGAAAATGTCAATTTAACAGTCTTTTATCTGTTCAGTTACAATCTTTGGAACTAACACAGTTCTTCATTGTGTATTATGTGCCAGTGTTTTTCAATGCTCCAACCAGACGGTCTTCATGTGGACACTTGAAGATCCACCTAGCTCTTCTCGCTCTTCTCTCTCTCTGCTACAAAATCATACTTTTTATCAACAGATGGTTTTTTTATAATTGCTTATAGGTGGTGCTGCAGAGAAAACACTAAAAGGGACAACAACTCAGAAACGTCTATAATAAGCAGTAGAAAGTAACAAAAGACAATAATAAAAATATATCCAAGATGACTTTAATAAAGAAAACTAACCTTGTCCACTGCATTACACCATTTGGTAAAAGTCTTTATACATCTAATTGGAATAAGATTCGTAAATGGACTGTTTTGCTATCTACACTGTTCAAAAAAAGGATATGAAGGTTTTAGTTACCCAGCGTCATTTCTTTCAGTCGTTTCACATAAAATGTGTGGTGATACTATTCAAGTTTTCTGTGCATCAGGTTCAATCAGAGTCGTTCAGGACACTTCATTTCCTTAGTTGACTCAAACGCTATGTACGGTTGTGGCCTTGCAAAGTGCATATTGCAACCCCATCACAGCCACAAGGCTATACAACCTTCCCATGTGCCCACAAAAACTTCCTTTTCGGACAGGAGACGGAGGCATGCACGGTAAGAAACACCTTAGTCTGCCTTGTATTTATTCAAATATGTGTTTAATGCTGGTTAGTATTGTTAGATAGATAAATTAGATAAATGTTAACTGCTGAATTTTCCAAAATAAAACATGGCAAGCAACAGTTTTCGTAACATTACGATTTTTTACGGTGAATTTTTGGGCAATTGTGTTTTTTTTATTACTTGTATTAAGTAACTGAAACAGTTAGTAGTAAAACAGTAAGCTCAACTATGAGATTTTGTGCACCATTCTGAGTGTGGTATTAGAGAGCCGTAAGCAGTCATGCATTCATTACATTTTAATTTCCTCGTTTTTCTCATTGATAACAAAGTAATTTTGACTTGTTTCCTAAAGATAACAAGATAATTTAATTTGAGATCTCGAGATACAGACAATCCAGATAGAATAGGCCTGGAAGGAGTGTGGAGTGGTTTGTGTGTGTTATTTGGCGAAAGCAACAGATCAGTAGCAGTAGGGAGTTCGGTTAGAAGAATGTACAGTAATGTTGCAATACACACTTAAATAAAAGGCTACAGTGTTCAAGTCTCTGGCAGCAAGCAGCAAAGGTTAACACCAGAAAAAGCAAAGTTTCTTTATCAATCAAGATCGCTGGACAATTATTCCCATTATCTTCGAGAAACAATGCAATTTAACTTCGCTAATATACAAAGAAAATTGGAGGGAAAATAAAAGTATGAATTTGCATGACTTCTTAGGGCTTCCTGTAGTGTGTGAAATTAGAACAGAATTATTTTTTGCAAGTAGCTTAATAAGTTCATTGAGCATTGTTAATAGCTAGACATGTGCACACAAATTTTTTTTTCCAGCTGGTATTGTTAAAGGTTATTACAGTACAAAAGTATGGTCATTCTTATCATTAAGTTATTGAGTTTGTCCAGTACAGTTGCTAAAACAAATGAGATACAGTAGAAGATGGATGTCTCACTCTTTTTGATTTCATCCCAATCCCTGCTACATAGAGTCAGGTGAAACGTGTTGAAAAGTTTGGAAGTAATTATTTAATATTTTTTAAACCTAATCAGGATTGCTAGTTTTGAGTTTTTGGCTTGGAGAGCCAAAAGCTGACTTCTTTGCTTTTTCTCAATGTATTTATGTTGTAGGAAACAACTGATACGACTAAAAATTGTTTTTTGTCCCTACAGAATCAGTTGGCAGAGTTATGCAAATGAACCCACGGTGTCCTTCTTTGAGGAGCTGGACAAATATTGTCCGAGCCTGCTGAAAGTACAGAAGCGTAAGTAGCACCATGGCAGACCCTCGCGTCTCTCTTTCAGCCTTGACAAATCAAGTAGGGAACAGTAAGAGATGTTTACTACATTGGTTATGACCATTATGAGGCTTATAATGTACAATGTTCATGTCATTAAAACACTTAAGGTTCAATTTGACAGAGCAGCCATGTCTCCCAATTGAGCATGTACCACATTGTAAATCTGTCTTCTAATACCACCAAAGGTTAATTTGTCGCTAAGTGACCACGCAAGCAACCCGGTGTTGTTCAAAATAGTTGGGCACAGAAAAACTTGATAGTACACCACACATTTTAGTTGAACTGACTGAAAGAAATGAGCTGAGGTAACTAAAACCTCATATCCTTTTTTACAGTGTAGAAGCAACAGTCCATTACAATTTATTACCAATTAGATGTATTATAGACTTTGTTACCAATGTGTAATGGCAAGGTGGACAGGATGTAGTTTTCTTTATTCGTCATCTTGGATTATTATTTTTATTATTGTCTTTTGTATACCTTCCTACTGCTTATATAAGTTTTCTGAGTTGTTGTTCCTTTAGTGTTTCTCTGCAGCACCCACTAAAGCATTATAAAAACCATCTGTTGATAAAAAGGTATGATTTGTAGCAGAGAGAGAAAGAGCGAGAGAGCTCAGGTGTCTTCAAGTGTCCACATGAGACCGTCTGGTTGGAGCATGAAAACACTGCACATATAACACATGAAGAAGCTGTGTTAGTTCCAAAGATTGTAACTGAACAGAATAAAAGACCTTTAAATTGACATTTTCACAAATAAGAATTCAGTTTATTGAACATGAATTATTTCAGTAAACATGATTTTAGCAACTGATGAACATTATTTTCATGTTAATCCAACAGATTACAGCCTAGTTTAATCTTTAATTATACAAATACAAATACAACGGTCAAATAAATATAGAACAGTAAAAACATTTCCCTCAGTAAAATGTATTAGAAATATAAAGTATCACAAAATAGAGTAGAAGTACCTCAAAACTGTACTTAAGTACTTAGTTACTTCTTTCTACCAGTGAGTAAAATATACTATAGATAATGTAATGATTTGCATAATGTGCCTTATGTTTTTTGTATTTCCTGTGTGTCCACTATAAATAGATTTACTGACCATAAAGGCTCAAAAATTCATCAGAATAATGCACCCTATAGCCTATATGACACCTCCTTCAGCAGACCTATGTCATCCGTCTGTCACCCGGTCCTCTATAGAGTTACACACACAGAGAGAGAGAGAGAGAGCGAGAGCGAGCAACAGCTGCAGCAGCATGTTCTGCTGAGTGAAGGAGGCAGCGCAACATCCAGACGCACCTGTGGGTTAAAGAGGAGGTTTCAAGCTCTCAACCTTCACTCGTTTTTTCTTCTTTCTTTCTTCTCCTTCTGCTTGCAAGCAAGTTTTGTCTCAGGATTTGAAGACGCGTGTCAGGATGGCGGCAGCATCGACAGATGCGGGGCAAGGGTCCACCAAAATAACTCCTGAAGTGCTGCAGGAGATGCTCCAGTACTACAACCTGAGCCGCCAGGAGTTTATCAACACTTACAACATCCAGCCGCTCGTCTACATCCCCGAGTTGCCGTACAGTGCCAAGACCACCTTCGTGATCATGTATATGGTTATTTTCGTCATGGCTCTGGCTGGGAATAGTTTGGTCATCTATATAATTGTGAAGAAACGGGCGATACAGACGGCGACAGATATTTTTATTTGCTCTCTGGCGGTCAGCGACCTGCTCATCACTTTCTTCTGCATACCTTTCACTTTGCTGCAGAACATCTCCTCACAATGGTTCGGAGGTCAGTTTTAAACCTCTCTTTATACTTTATATTATAGCTACTTGACTTGAAAAACATGTCAGGAATAAGAATCTAGATAGGAGTGATTACATCGTATTAAAAATTGAGGCACCTGCTGCTGTGATTCACATTCAAACCTTCATCCTTTTATTTGTAGCCTATACTTGGAAATCAAACTTCAAAAAAAGAAAAGCATGACATATAAACATGTACCCATGGCCTAATTGTTGCATTACACAGTCTTACAAGTGCAAAATTAATCAGTGTAACTGAACAAATCAGGATTAACAAGCTGAATAAGAAGGATGCTGGCTATAAAAATCCGCAATTTACTCCAAAAAAGCTGTGGAACACATTATGTAATGTGAATCAAATTTAGTTGAATAATGAGTGACAGCAAACAGAGTACTGCACAAATTATAGCCCTTTAAGGAAGAAACTTTTAAGGTGAACACAGGTAGCTGCGTTCCAAATAAAATAACACATTTCTTCACAGCTCAGTGAACGCATCAATGTGTGCCACATGCACAGTGTAACTCTTTAGCACTGGACTATATTACAGGCTGTTCATATTATTACAGAACTTCACAACAAAAGAAAGTTGTCGTTGAGATCAAACTTGGTAGAGGTAATGAACACTCCTGTTATCATGGCCTCTTGCAATGTTATGCAATCCTCCTTATTATATTTATATATTTCATATATATAGAACACCACGTCTAATACCAACAAGGACACTTCATAGAAATGAACCTAGCAGCTGACATTCAATGTATCATAGCAATAGAAGGCCAGCTCAAAGCATGTGCTCCTTAAAACATGGTCACAATTAGTTCAGGGTGAATCAGGCATGTCATGTCATGTGGGCCACAGTGCACATTTTCACCTGGGTTTCAGCTCATTGCTTCATTAGCTGTGTGTCTGTTCAAGGGTTATCAGAGATGGTTGCTTTGTCATTTCAATGAAACCCCACGTGTAAATGAAAAGGATGAGAAAGGGCTCGCCTCGGGCCCACTCACAGATCAATAATAATAATGGACATGCATTATTCTCTCTGCTGTTTCTCAGTACCTTATTGTTTAATCCCTCTGTTTTTCTCTGTAGGAGTTCTGGTTTGCAAGACAGTTCCCTTTGTGCAGACTACAGCCATAGTGACAGGCATCCTCACGATGACCTGCATTGCCATTGAGAGATACCAGGGCATTGTCTTCCCACTGAAAATGAGGAGGCAGTACTCATCCAAAAGAGCATACAAGATGCTAGGTATTGTATGTTTGCAAGAGTGGCTTATTATGCTTTTAGGAGCAGATGTGAGTGTTCGAGGAAATGTGGCATAATGTGTGGCATGTGTGCATAATGGCCAGGGTTAGGAGGGTAACTTTGAATACAAATACTAGATACTTGTTAAAAACATATTCAGAAACCTAATCAAAAACAGAACTTGATAACTTTCTGTTACTTTTGGATTATCTGTGAAAGTGAAATGAAATATCAATAAGATGACTTTCACATATTCTATAAGACAACAGAACAAAGCAACCTTAGAAAAGAAAATTGGGAAAACAATAAAAATGTGTCCTCTGTGTATTTAAAAAACAAACAAAACTTTGAAGCAAATACAGGCAGTAACCTGAAAACCATGTTCACATTTGGCATGTTGTTGCATTTTGACAAAATAATGGTGACATTTCTACCCAGTGAAAGCCATTTTCCACTAGAGGCCTTGATAATAAATTGAAAACTGTAAAATAAGCTGTGGTTTCACTCCAGACCAGAGTGGCGTTGTGAGTGTCGTGAAGTTTTGTAAAATGTGTTTTAAAATTTGAATCCTGCTGATAATCCTCATTTTTACCAAATGTCAGTGGTGGCAATTTAAGAGGCAGAGGTAAAAAACAGGCCACCAGTGCACAGGAAGTTGGGATGCATTTATGGTAGTGAGACCAAATTGTCCACTTGAAACTTGATGACAGAATGAAAAATACATGCTCTTAACCCAATGTTTCCTTGTCTGAAGTGGTGTGTCAAAACACATGAAAATATTAGTAAGTGCTGATATTTCAGCTAATGAGGAAAGCATTGAAACTGTGAACAAACTTCAGTTCATGCAGCATGTCGTGGTAAATCAGAGTATTGCGGTCTCACACTGCTGGAGTTGAAAACAAGGAACCTTGCAGATACTTGACATGATTGGCAGCTTGTTAATTATGTAAAATATGAATTCAGTTGTGCAGCTGCTGTGACTATTGTTAGTGGCATTAATCACACGCTGGTTTTCTCCTTGAATGTCTTCCACAGCTACCGTATGTATCTGTTTGAACCATGTTATATCAGCATATTTTCTGTTTGTAAATGTTTTATCTGTCTGCATCCTGCAGGGCTGGTATGGATCGCCTCAGTGATAGTGGGCTCACCAATGTTGTTTGTGCAACAACTAGAGGTAAGTGGTGCCCCTCAAAGCAACCCACTACTTTTCATTAGCTTCCTTTAGTTGTGCTACAAAGCAAAATCACACTCTTGTTGTAAAGCTGAATAAACTGCATTGCTGTTTTGGCAGACATGGTAATTTAATCTTTTAAAAAGAAATGATAAATTTTATAATTACTTTAGTTTGACACTTCTGTTGCTGGTTTTACAGAGTAAAATCTTATTTATTTATTTCAGACCAATTGTGTTTGCTCTGCTTGGTACTAAAGTGATAATGATGATCATTTGGCAGATTACTGTGTGGATTATTGCCTTGCATGGTCTCTCTGTCTTGGTGGGTCTGATGTGGTGGCTTTATGAATATTCTACCTACTCTGGTCAGCTTTGGCTGCTGCAGCAGCACATGCGTCTGGCAGACAAATCTTGTTATCTGGAGAGACTGTCAAACATTATGATATTATACTGACAACATAAGAGAAAAATATAATAAAGGAAATAGCTGAGTAGCTACAAAACAATGTATTTTATTATCATTATATAGTTTAGGAAATGAATACTAAGATATTATTGGGTATGCCAACGAGCTGCAAATACACAGAGAAACAGAGTCAAATGTTTTCTCCAGGACTAAAAGCTTTTCTCCCTCCATCTCAAAGGTGAAGTACGACTTCTTGTATGATCACTACCACGTGTGCTGTCAGGAGAGATGGCGCTCTCTGAGTCACAGGCAGGCATACACCACCTTCATCATGGTGGCTCTTTTCCTGCTCCCTTTGGCAGCCATGCTGTTTCTCTACACGCGCATTGGCATTGAGTTGTGGATCCGGAAGAGGGTGGGCGACTCCTCAGTCCTCAACACCATGAACCACAGGGAGATCAACAAGATCTCAAGGTCGGTTAGACAGCAGATGTTTCTCACAGAATATTCTTTTGTGCATTTTCACAACATAAAAATACCTATTCTTAGCATCATGTCTCCTGGTAATATGGGTCCTAAAGAATTGGCCATGGTTGTTGGTGGGAAGCCAGTGAGGGATCACATCCTTGTAGTATCAGTGACTCCTTGTGGTGAAGGGGATAAAGAACCTGCACTTGCTTTTTAGTTGCCAAAGTTGTGTTCCAGTATGCAAATTACACCCACTTCTTCCCCTAAGGAGTCCACACAGGATCCACAACTTGTGGTGAAACAACAACAAAAAAAAAACATAACAGACACACATTATTATTCAAAGCAGAGTATTTCTGTATACGTCTTCAAAACATTTCTATAGGGGGCCATTATGTCAACATCAAGCTGTAGCTGCTTAACACTAAAATGCACACATGGAGCTGTTGTGTTTGGGTTCATCTCTGAATCTTAAATAGGGCTTCCTTATAGCTCTACGCACAGAATTAGATTGCTACAGTAATTTTGTGTGATTACTGATTGCTGTGCTTGGTTGAGATGTACTATAGTATGAGAAACAAGCAGGATAATCACAGAACTTTGATGTTAATATCACAAAAACACTGTTTATGGCGCTCAGAATGTGATGAAATTGAAGGCAGCTGTGCTGGTAGAGCGGGTCTAACTATTTATCACAGGGTCAGAGTCTAGTCGAAGTGTCCTTGGGCAAGATACTGAATTGCAAATTGCCCCTGATGGCAGTGCAGTCGGTGTATGAATGTGAATTTGTGTGTATGGGTGAGCTTAGTATCTTTGTGAGGATAGGAAGCGCTGTATCGTTCCTGATGAGCAGCTGGCACCTTGCATGGCAGAATCTGCCATCAGTGTATGAATGTGTGTATGAAAAATGTTGTAAAGCGCTATGAAATTCAAATTTGATAAACTCAACAATCTCAGGAAAGCATAAACATGGGACTTTTTAATGTTTCCACAAAAAAATACCAATGTTGTGTTTTCCCTGTTGGGTACAGTCTGCTCCTCAGACCAGCAGTGGGGGTTAGGACAGCAGTAAAAATGGTTGCGGTCCATAGCCAGGGTCCTAATATTTTTCACTTACAGCCATGGCTGAACAGCACACTTTAATGGAAGAGTACCATCATAGTGTAGTTCCCCTTGCTGCTGTATCATGTCTGGAGGATCTGCTACTTTACTTTTTTTTTCACAGGAAAAAGAAAAGAGCCGTTAAAATGATGATAACCATCGTTCTACTGTTCACCATTTGCTGGGCCCCTTTCCACACAGTCCACATGCTGTTTGAGTACTGTAAGTATTGTTGGAGTCTGTAAGAATTTTAATGAGGAATAGGAACTATTTTTTGACATAGTTTAAGTGCTTATTGCTGTTTATTTAAAGCAACATTGTGCAAGAATTTGTGTTTTTTGCAATTTGGTACTAGACACAACAAGCCAGCTAATATAAATTACTCGTCCAACTGTCTTGGAGCCTTTTGTTTCGTAAAGCTCTCCATAACAACACACCAACACTCTTGTTATATAGTGCGAGAGCAGACGTATGGGGCGCACAGTGGAAATGACAAAGGCACCATTCACACTATCATAAGTCAGTGTAACTTTTGTGTGATTTTAAGGTAAAATAGTTGTTCATGACTTTGATTAATGACCTCTATCTTGTGTCCAGATGACCTGGAGAAGAAATTTGACGGAGTCACACTTAACATGATCATCGCCATTGTTCAGGCCATCGGGTTCTTCAACAGCTTCAACAATCCCATCGTGTACGCTTTCATGAACGAGAACTTCAAGAAGAGCTGCGTCTCTACCCTCTCCCACTGCATCCGAAAGCCTAACCAGCAGCACTGCGCTGTGGTGGCTCCCAAACTGAGCTTGCAGTTCATCAAACCCCAGAGTAGAGAAGCCTTCCTCGAATCAGATGAAGGCAACGGCTCGAAGCAGCACTTGGCGCAGAATGGCCCCACAAGTTCCTCGCACGGAGAGAGCTCACTGGAAATAATAGGCGAAAAAATTTCCACCATCCAAACAGAACTCCCTGCGAACAGCTCCTCTCAAGTCAAATGAGAAGGCACCTGCTCAAAGTTCAGGTGTTAAGTTCCTCTCTCCTGTTTGCTGTCAATCACAGGCACTTGACATCAGCAGCCGCCGGTGTGTCAGATGCAACTTCAATTTTCACATTTGCGATTCAAAACTCAGAAAAGTCCAACAGGTTGAAAATGTGTCTCTTCAGTGCCAGAAATGAGAGTGTATGTTCCATTCTGGTCAGGAGAGCAGCAGGAAGGAAATGACGGAATTCCCTAAAGAGGTGGTTTTCTTATAAAGACTGCCCTGGGAGAAATCTGGCCCCACGGAAAGACAACAAAACCGTTTGTCGTGTGAATAAAAAATTAATTTCTGTTGAGATGTCTGTGAAATCTACAGGACATTCAAACTCTATCAGTGAGCATTTAATGTCAGAGAGAACTGTGTTCAATGTCATCTCAAATGAGCACAAACTGTTACGACTGTGGTATTTAGGGATCTGTTTGGAAACGGCAACACTGAGCAGCAAAGGATGATCAAGGATGATGCCTCGGCTGTTAATGCACTGCTAAATGTGCATTCAAGTCAGCTATTTGGCGTCATTCTACTCTACTAGTTCAGTTCAGGTTAATTCAATTGCAAAACTATTTTATTAAAGTGACACAAACCCTTAAGCCTCTTACACATTTCTATGGCTTGAGATCACCTCTTAATAGAACTCAAATCTGATAATGAAACACATCTTATTGTCAGAAGAGCAGAAACTGCTTTGCACTTTTCCTTCAGTTCAATGATTGTATTATACCATGTAATTTATTTTTTTCTCTTTACTGCTAAACTGAGCAGTTGGGATCTGTACAGCCCTGTACAGTTTTTAACAGGTAAAAGATGAAATAAAGGACCACATGCCTTACTGTTTGAAACAGAGTTCAATGTTCAAACACAGCTCTTAAATCACCATACAGGACTTTGACTCAACCCTTTTTAAATCAAAAAAGATCATTTTCACACACACAAGGGACAAAATTGGTTTTGGTATTAATGTGCTTAATTGTGCTGAGGCCTATTTCTGTTATGTTGATGTACGCAGCTCAAATGAATGTTATTATTTTGGTGTATATTTAAAGTTACTTATTACACGTCCTATAATGATACGTTTGGTAATGGCGGCTTGGCTTTAATTCACAGCTCTATGCACATCGCTAATTTGAAAATCAAATGATCATTTGTTTAAATTACATTTCTTTCTTTGTCTTTCTTATGCAAATCAGAACGCCAGTAGGCTTTCTTCTCTATATAAACTGAATAAAGTGTGCTATTACAACATGTTTCCTTGTTGCATTTGCATTCAATTTCTGACCAAATGTTGAATATGTATAGCTTACTATCAAGTATTACTGTAACTGTCAATAAATAAACTGATGTTAGCTCTGTGGCTGCTGATGGACTTACACACCACAATTCACGTTCTCATAATAATGAAATTCATAAACTGAAATAATAAGGTATAACTGCGGTGAAAAAAGATAAATAACCTTGTCAACAATTCTGATGACCCCTATTTTATGTAAAAAAAATGTGATCGGGAATTCTGTAATAAATGTTCATGGCTAAAAAAACATTTAGTTGCAAAAAATCAGCTGACACATGATGCCAATTTGACAACAGATAACCATTGTTGTGTACATTGATACTATCTCACTATTGTAATTACTGAACTGAGAAATAACCAAAAACCAACCAAACAGAAACTGTACATAAAGTTTAAATACTGCATTTGACAAAGGCTGTGTAGCCATATGTGAGTTAAATTAGTGAAAAAAGAGAAGCTGCTTTGTATTAAACACTCAACAATCACAAAGACGTATTTTTAATAATATTGTTAAGTATGAGATTTTACAGGAATACTATAAATGTCAGGAAAATCTCACTAACCCATGGGCTTGAAAGGTACCTCTGAAAAATGTATAACTTGCTCCTTTGTGGAAGATGACAGCTACAACAGTTTCCAGCAGTGGCAGCACAGTCTTTTCAAGCCACTAGTTTAATTGGCCATTGGGGATGCTACAATAAGCCTGAAACCCTCTGAAGTTCATAGCTTTCTGACCTACATTTTCTGAGCAGGTTTTACATACAACTTACAAATGGGAGTATACTTAAAGGGAATGGTACGCATGCTGATTTGTATCGTCCAACAATGCAATGCATAAATGAACAATTCATAACATTGATATTTAAGTCTGGACCAAAGTGGCAGTGGTCCAGTCAATAGCCAGATTTTGCCATCTCTAGAGCTCGTGACTTGACTGAAAATGTCAATACGTCAAACAATTTGTCTGATAAGTTGACTGCCAGTCACCTTTGACAAAGGTTGTGATTGTATCTGACATGTGGTTGATCATTTTTTAAAAAGGCTTTTAACTATTGAATCACTGTATTTACAGAAGAAAGTGACTTTCACATGATTTTCTAGGTAATTTCTTTTATTACATTATATACATTATTACATTATTATATGAAAAGGCTTCATACAGGATGGAAAAATTCAACCTCAATGAACTGCTGCTGATCTGAATCTTGTATGAATACAAAACAAATGAGAAAAGACGAACTGAACATTCCTGAAATAGGTATTGCAGCGTGAACAGCTGCACTGCTAGGAAACAAGAAGTTCATACTATGATGCAAAACTAAGTGCCAAACCAGAAGAGATCAAGTCTGCTTCATGATTAAGAGGTAATCTGTCTCAATTCGGCTGCACGTGTTTATGTGGAGCATGTTATACATGACACACTGTGTGCCATTACAATGAGGGAACAAAAGATAATGTAACGTCTTAATAACAGAGGGCACACTGTTTTACGAACAAGTAAAAAAAGCAAGAAAAGCAGTAAAGAACAAGAGTTTAAAGTATTTTATATTCTCAGTTTACCAGATTTTAACTGAAATAATAAGCAATTCTGTTATCTCTTACATGTCATCTATCTATCATCTTACAAACTTGCTTTGTAAAATGAAATGCAGCGTTCTCATGCCAACCTAAAACAAGACACAATCCTATTTTCTTTTGGATCCTTCAAAAGGAAATCTGACACTCTGGCAGGCACTTCTATATTGAGATAATCTTAAAATGTCTTAAGGTTCTGAAAAAAACAAAAAAACATGAAAACATTCCTCATTGCTATGTGATCAGAGGTATATGGAAGTCTGCACTGTCAAAGAGAAGAGGCCTTTTGACTGGAGAGGGATCCTTGTCAGCCTTGTGTAGGAGTTTAAACAGTCCTGTTCCGATATTCATTGGAATCCCCATAATGATGCACTCAGACACACCTGAAACAGGAACACAGGAAATGTTAAGAGCCAGTTACGTCAAAAAGTAAAGTTCAATTTCATTACAGAGATTAGGCTTACCACAGACAGAGTCCTTTTGTCCAAAGTAGGCGGCGTCGAAGAGATGATCAGCCGTTTTCTCGAAGGAGGCCAGCATGAGGACACTCTCCTTCATTTTGGCTAAACCGAACCTGGTGATTCCCAGTATCTCCCCCTTTATAAGAGACAGTGTGCACTCAGGTGAAATTACCTCCAGCTACACAAACAGACATGCATTGTATTATACTACTCATACCTTGTAGGACATGAGATCTGCAAGAAGCATGACGTGACGCCGGTCGATGCTCATCCCGTGGTTCACCATGGTGTACTGAATCTCATTGATGATGGTGGATCTAGCAGCCTCGATACCTAAGGTCTTCTCAACCTGGAAACCAGTCAATAAATAAAGCACTCACATGGCAACTTCAGTTCAGGTAAGGTCATTCTTAGGGCTGCAGTGATTCATGTATATACTTTCTGTGTCCAGGAGGGTTGGCTTAAGGTCGAGAGACATACATTGTGCCTGTGCGAACATCTGTGTACTGCCATTTTGTTGTGACCGCACAGCCACTACACTGTGGGGAACATGTCCTCCATGAGACAGTGGTGGATAAGACAAGGACGGTATGTCTGCGTGGCTAAATGAAACACATCAAATATGCTTATGCGCATTTGACAGCATCACCCAGATGAAAGAAATGTATCCTTATGCATTTCCCCACTGTACCAATGAATGGAACTGTGACTTCTGTATACCCTTACACCCCTAGTAATTTTGTATTCTACTGCAAAAATTTGACTTGTAATTATTTATAGTTGAAATGGGATACATTTCAAAATGCATACTGAGCTTAATTTTAACACTCAGGAGTGGATGTACTTTCACATGTAGGTCTCACTTTGCAATGCTGAATATAAAATCAACTGCCAACCTCTGCAGACATGGTTGACTGCTCAATGTAGCAGCAACAATAACTTCTGCCACCTGCAATTCTCTCTGTTCATTTCAATTGTTAGTATCACAGCTTGTGTCATGGACAAATCTTTCTGTGAGTGGATCTGAGAGTGGTTTGGCCTCGGTGAAGCATCCCAGGCAATACCTGTTTTTGACTGCTTTTGACCTGCTATGAAATCATTCGTTTTATCTTTGTTCCAGCATCTGAGAGAAACACGATAGAAACATCAATGAGGCTGTGAAACGCAAATCAAAGAGAGTCCGACACAACAGGAAGTGGCTTCTGAGAAGAAGCGGGGGGTCACGCCGTGTTTATCAAGACTGTTTCAAAACCAAATCAGGAGGAAGATTTTTTCATGTGAACTTTTAGAAAACCATTTACAAGTGTGGATGGAATTTGGTTGACATGTTAACAACTTTTTTTCCCCAAACACCCATACACTTGTCTAGTTTATTAGGTGCACTACCTAAACCTAATGCAGTTTAAACAAAGTTTTAAAGTTTTAACAAATCCTACCTTGATGAAGATTATAATGTCCACTTTTTGTTTAAACTGCTTTTAAGAGGTCTTGATTTTACTTTATTGGCCATTTTGGAAGCTGTAGTTTTTATAATGTTATACCAAGAGGGGTTACTATTATTCTAATAGCCCCATTTTTATCAATGTAGGCAGAATAAAGGTAGGTTTTAATTTTAACGTCAAGTGAAGTAACAA